TACAGACCACAGGTCCTACCCCAGGATAAGGCACCAACGCTCACCCTTAGCACAGGGGGCCTTTGAGCAGCCCTAGGCTGCCTTTCTCTCTCCTTCCCTGGTCCCTCCTGGCCCTCTCTCATCTCAGTGGCTTCTTTCCTGGGTTCAGCCTGCCCACCCCCGCACCTTGCTCTTCTCTTCCCAAGGCATCTCCATCATCTCCACCCCTCGCGAGCAGATCCTAGTGAGTCGAGGGACATGCTGGGTGTCAAACCCTGACATCACCTCGTCCTAATGGGCTGACCTTGGGCACGCCTCAGTTCCCGCATTAGTAAAATGGGGCTAATGGTAGCTCCCCGCGAGATCACAGTGAAGGCGAAATGCAGTGAGGCACGGGGAGCACAGCGTGCTGGCCTGGCAAGGCCAGGTGCCCACTGCTGCACTTCTGTGCCCCCTCCCGGGGAACCGCCCCTCCTCTGCAGGCTCACCTTGGCAGCTGTGGCGGTCAGCAGAGAGTTGCATGCCCGGCCCACACTCGCACACAAACCCGCCTTCCGTGTTCACACACTGGCCCTCGCAAGAAGAGCTTAAACACTCATCAATGTCTGGGAAGAGAAAAAACACCCATGCTCAGCCTGCTCGGAGTGTGGCTGTGATGCAGAGAGGAGACCTCACACACACCCCACACCCAGCCCAGACCTAATCTCCGCAGCGTGGAGCCCACACTTGCACCCCACAAGGAAAAGGCAGATACCAGGGCAGTCACTGACAGTGAGGGGACCTCTGGCGAGAAGAAGCCAAAGAGCTGGGGCTCCCTTTGACCCACGCAGATCAGAGGACAGGAGGCTGGCTGACACAGAACTTTTTTTTGGGCCAAGCCAGCAGGGTAATCCCATGGAGCTCCCAAAAGGGCAGAGAGCAATGGGCAGAAAGGCTGCTGAAATCGTCAACGACAGACCAGCTGGTTGGATCCCCGTGGCTGACTACGAGGTTTGAGTCTGGACCTGCCTGCTTAAAAAACACACAAGGCACACGTGTGTGCATGCCCAGACTCCCGAGAGGAGAATGGAGGAGAAGGGAATGTAGCATGTCCACCCTCCGGAGGGAGCTTTCTCACTCTCTCTGTCACTCTCCAGAAAGCCCATGCACCCTATAGCAATTTAAAAAAGAAGAAGAAGAAAGAAAACAGTAACAGCATCATTCTTCTAGTGTCCACTCAGCACTGACTGCAGCAGACCGGAAACAGGTGGTCACGGACACGGATGTGACGTAGACACATCCATCTCCAGAGGTCTACGGTCTGATAACCCAGGGGCCATGACACACACCCAGGGCGGGCAGTGCACAGCGGAGTGGTACATGCCCTACAGGGAATGGCTAGCCACGGCGTGTGTGCCCTGGAGAAGCAATGAGCTGAGAGGACCAGGAGCATCAGGTGGGGGCACCCAGTGGGTTTGAGATACTTCCAGACACCAGCTGGGCTCTTCGGGGAACGGATGGAGGCCCAGGCTGGACTCCTGTCAAGGCAGATGGGACAGAGCTAGAGTGGTGGGTTAAGATAAGCTCAGGTTGGGACCAGCAGTTAGCGTAATGGCTATGTTGCTGGACTCCCATGTAGTCAACCGCAGTTTGAGTCCCAGACCCAGTGGCTTAAACTCACGCTGGACGCATGTGCATCTGTGCCCAAGATCCCGAGAGAAGAACGGAGAAGGGATTAAGGCATGGCCATCCCCTGTGGGGGATGATTTCTCGCTTTCTGTCTATCTCTCTCTGTCTGTCTGGCGAGCGCATGCGCCCAAAGCAAAATCCTCTCCAAAAAAAAAGAAAAAAAAATGGTAAGATCAGGTTGACCAATCAGTGGCACAGACTGACCCACATGGGAGGTTCCAGGTTTGCATCCAGAGACTTCCTTGAACATACAAGGTGCACACATGCGCACACACACACACACACACACACGTCCATGATGCAGGGTTAGATGAAGCTAGGATTGGATTCTAGTGGAAGGACTCAGTTTAGGGGTGCTTGTCTCTATTTTCTCACTCACGGAAAGAAGGAAATGAGTAAACTTAAAAACAAAAACAAAAAAAGACAGACCAGGCTACGAAGCACAGAAAAGTTCCATAAAGGCTTCTTCCCAGGGTGGGGTGAGTGGATTCTACTAGGGCTTTAGGAAGGTTAACCTGAGAGACATTCCAGCCTGAAGAGTAAGAGCAGCTGGAGGATAGAACTCCCCAAACCCTGCTGCATGGCGCCCCTTTCCTGCCTAAGAACCAGCGTGGCCCCTGAGGACCGACAGAATCAGCTTGGCCCGCTCCAGTCTACACCTAAGTCTCCTCACCGCCTGGCCTCCATGCCCACAGGACACTTCTGCTCTCCTTACCACCTACTCAGCCTTCTACCTGGCACCTACTCGCTCTTTCCGTGGTCTTCAAGGCCAGCACCTCTACGATGCCCACCCTGACCAACCCAACCCCATTCCACAGGGATCCCTCATGACTACAGTCAATGTCACTTGCGCTTGCTTTGACATTGTTTTCTGGGTTTCCCTTGGTCTAGTTTGTCTATGCAAAGAGAAGTGTATGCAGAAAGTACTCGGCAGGGTGCTAAAAGGCACTGTGGGGGTTGGGGTGGGGGGTGTCCCCTGCCTTAGTTGTGTCTCTTTTCTGGAGGAAATGGTGCAACAGCAGCCCACTCAAGACACCTTCAGTGAGACTCTTTAGCCCAATAATCTCCCTCTAGGAAATAATCAAAGAAGCCAACAGGAGGCCTCTTTGCTGCAGCATTATTTACAGCAGTGACACATCGCAGACTACCTACGTAGGGATAAGGGGCACCTAGGTGCTTAACTACAGTAGCCACGTGTGCAGCTGTCCCAATTATGTTGCGAGGAAAATTTAGCAGTATTCACAGTATGGAATGGGGAAAATAATGAACACAACTACAGCTACGGTGTAATCCCGATTTTATAACACATACATGCATGCTTAACATACACACATGTGTGTATATATTCACACACACACATCCAGAGAAAGGGCAGAAAAATAAATTAATTTTACTAACAGGTATCTCTGAGTAAAGACTTCTAGATGTTTATTCTTACTTTTCCTCCTCTTACTTTCCAAATGTTCTAAAATGAATTATTTTTTACTTTTCTATTCAGGAGGAGAAACATTACTTTTACAAAGTTAAAATTCCAAAAGGTAGAACCAGCAGATGGCATAACGGTTACATCGCTGCACTCCCACGTTGTCAACTGCAGTTTGAATCCCCAACCTGCTGGTTTGAAACTCACCCCAGACACATGTACACACATGCCCATGAACCTGAGAAGGAATCGCAGCATGGCCATCCCCCCGCCCCGTGGGGGGGTGATTTTTCACTTTCTGTCTCTCTATCTCTTTCTGTCTCTTCGCTGAGTGCAAGAAACCTATAGTAGGACCAGCAGTTAGTGTAATGGCTATGTTGCTGGACTCCCATGTATTCTACCGCAGTTCGAGTCCCAGACCCAGCGGCTTAAACTCACGCAGGGCGCATGTACATGAATGACCAAGATTCTGAGAGGAGAATGGAGAAAGGATTGCGGTGTGGCCATCCTCCCTTGGGGGGTGATTTCTTGCTTTCTGTCTCTCTGTCTCTCTCTCTGTCTTTCTGGCAAGCGCATGTGCCCTATAGCAAAAATCTTTTCAAAACAAAAAATCCAAAAGGCTTTCTTTTCTCTGGAAAGATCCACAAGAAATGGGTCACAGTTCTACCTCTGGAGACGGTAACAGACTTTATAGAAACTCTTTTTAAACGAGTCTATGTTCTTCTATTTATTCATTCATCAGAGAAAGACAGAGAGGACAGAGAATGTGAGACATCAACCTCCAGAGGGAATGTTCATGTCGCAATCCCTCTTCCTCCAGTCTCCTCTGGAGGATTTTGGGTACACACACACATATACCTGGTGTGATTTTCAGTCGCCTGGTCTGGTTCATGAACCACAGAGTCAACCATTTGGGATCCAAAACCTTAACCTCCACACCACCTGCTGGCCTGGCCCTATATCCTTTTATTTTAATCATTTTTGATAATAACTTTTTATTATATTTACAATTTATATATAATCATTGTAAGACAAATAATACTTTTAAAATAAAAAACAAATAATACTTTTATGAAATAATCATTGAGTTTTGCTTGCCCCCTCTTTGTTCCTTTTTTAATTGGCCAGAGGGTGCTTGCTTGCTGCAGGGAGTGAAGAGCATCCCCTATGGGGACGGTCACACTTCAATTCCTCTGCCTCTGCTTCTCTCTCCTTTCCAGATTTGGGCTTGCACATGTTTCTCAAGCTGCCAGGTCTGGAACTCGAACCATGCAGCTGGCCATGTGGAGTCCAGCTGCCTTACCCAGCCGCCCATATGCTGGCCTGCCTTCTTTTTCCAATGTCCCTTTCCCAAGGAGCCTTCCTTGGCCAACTCTTACCTCCAGTCCAGGTTCCATGCTCTCCTGTGGGCCCCAGCACCTTGCACCTCCCCGGTCCAGTCCCCAGAACATGAGACTGTCCTTGCCCTGTACTTGTCTCCCATCTCCCATTTGGAAGCTCCAACCAATGGCCCACACAGTCCCAGCCCCCAGCTCAGCTCCTGCCCGTATGAGATGCTCAAAAACAATATGTGTGAGACAAGAGAAGTGACACATGTGTTTGCATGCATCCCTGCCATGCTCAAACTTCAGAGCTTGCCCCAGCTTAGTGTAGCTGTTGCTACTCTCTGGAGACCCTCCAGAAGAACATGACTGCGCGGGACGTGATTCCTGCCCTCTCTCTCCTGTCCCACCAGTCCCAGTCTCTCACCTGTACATCGGATGCCAACGGCTGTCTCTGTCATCGAGAAGCCCACAGGGCACACTCGGGCCACCTCCTGACAGCCGCCATGGTTGCAGGTCAGGTCACAGCCATACTCCCCGCAGGGTCCATGGGCTTCTAGAACAGGTAGCACACCGGTGAGCACTCGACACACCACGCAAAGCCCATGCCACAGCCACAGCTCCCCACCTCACAGGGGCTCTTCCCGAAGTCTGGTGGGACGGTGCCTCTAAACTTTACGCTCAAACAGGTCTGAGTGAGCTAGCTTCAGCACTTCCTGCAGGGGACCCTGGGTGAGACGGTAACTTCCGCGTCAGTTTCCTCATCTGTAAAACGAGGCGCTAACAGGGCTGTTTGGAGATGGTACTGCGAAGCGCCCAGTGCCCTACACTCCCGGAGGACAAGGGCTTTCCAACAGTGACTCAGTTGTTCCCATCAGCCACTGCCATCCCGTTACCTGGGCAGGTGGCCCCTTGCTCTCCATCCTGGCAGGAGCAGAGGTTGGGAGCGATGCAGATGCCACTCCCACAGCCAAAGGAGCAGAGGGCTGAGAGGAGAAATGCAGGTGAGGGATGGGGGCTGAGGCCCCCGGGGTGCCCCCTCGGACAGGGGACTGACGCTGGCAATGCCCACTGCTGACAGAGAAGGCGCAGGGCTCGGGGACGGGCACTTACGCAGTGTGCAATGCCCACTACCCATGGAGGGCGCCCAGCCAGGGCAGCAGCCACTCCCGAACCCAGAGAGGCAGACATGAGGACCCAGCCGGCGTCTGCAAGAGAAGAGAGGGTACTTCGCACAGTCTGTACTGAGGACGGAATCGGCCAATGGGAAAGCCTCCCAGCTGGTCTGTCAGTCAGTCAACACACAGTTTGTGTGATAACACACAGCCTCTTCTGGAAGCAGGACAAAGACAAACGTATGGAGAACAGGTACCAGCCCCTGACGGATACCTACTACAGGCGGAGGAGAGCGGCCAGGAGAAAGAGCTGCGGAAGGGCTGGGCCATGGAGGAAGAGCCCAGGGGAAGGCTGCCCAGGACGGTATCTTCAGGCCTCTCTATGGGAAGGCTCTTCCCCAGGTACACTCAGCTCTCTCTCTCCCTCCACCCAGGTCTCTGCTCATGCCACCTTTTCAAAGAAGCCTCTCTTGCCCTGCCTTATCTTGCTTTATCCTTTTTCCTACATAACATTCCGGGATACTGCATTATTAATCTGTTTGTTCATCATCTTCCCACCCCCCCAACCCTACAACTCCCTGAGGACAAGAACTGCTCCTTATTTGTTCACCCAGCACCCAGCACAGGGCCTGGCACATAGTAGGTGTTCAACAGAAGACTGGCGGGGGCAGGATGAGAAGGGAAGCCAGAAGGAGGGAGGGCACCCGAAGACTGCACTAGTGCAGCAAACACCTCTAGGGTGGGGTGGGGGCACCAAGGCTGCCCATGCTGGGGGGAGAGAGGATTTGCTCAGTCCAGAGCATAGGCCGAAGCTGACAGGGACAGGAAGCCCAGGGTCCAGAGAGGGCAGAGGGACAGGCAGGCATCACCTGCGAGCCCGATGCACGGCAAAGCATGGCAGTACAGCCTGAGCAAGCCACTGTCCACGGCTTTAATGGACACTGGGCAGAGAAGAGTCAGGTGACAGCAACACAGTGTGACAGGAGCTGCAACAGAATGGGCTGTGGAGCCCAGCGGGGTCAGCAGGTTCTGGAAGGGCCCTATCTGGCTGAGGCAGGGGCAAGGACCAGAGGCAGTGAGTGAAATGGGAGGAAGGGAGAGGCTGTCCCAGGCAGGGAACAGCACCATCGCAGGCCTGGAGGGGCAAGAGCTAATGGCTGGAACCAGCTCGGGGAATGGCCTAGATGGAGGGTGAGGTCCAGCCTGGCCTCAGGCGGGAATCCTGGAGCAACAGAATAGAGGCAAGAAAGCCCTCCAGACTGTGCTGGGCTACACTCAGCAGCTGCTGGGGGCGTCATTCTGCCAGCCAAGAACTTTATTTATAAAGAGCACCCACTATGTGCTCAGCAGCTGCTGGGGCATCGTTCTGCCAGCCAAGAACTTTATAAAAAAGGGCCCCCCATTTGTTGCCCGGCAGCCGCTGGGGGCATCGTTCTGCCAGCCAAGAACTTTATTTATAAAGAGCACCCACTATGTGCTCAGCAGCTGCTGGGGCATCGTTCTGCCAACGAAGAACTTTATTTATAAAGAGCACCCACTATGTGCTCAGCAGCTGCTGGGGCATCGTTCTGCCAACGAAGAACTTTATTTATAAAGAGCACCCACTATGTGCTCAGCAGCTGCTGGGGCATCGTTCTGCCAGCCAAGAACTTTATAAAGAGCACCCACTATGTGCTCAGCATGGCGCCAAGTGCTAGGGACGTGGGGCAAGACAGATTTACCCTGTTCTTGAGGAAAATAATCTGAGTCAAACGTGACCAATATTCTGGAAAGAAAAGCTCGGAGCACCACGGCAGTACAGAAAAGCCCACGGAAAACTGTCCCTGAGGCGGGGAGGAATCCCCCCCGAAGTCACAGAAGGGGGGCAGGTGCCACGTGCCAGGTAGTGTGTCTCAGTCACCCTCCCCGCTACCCTACCGCAGCAGCGGCAAGGACTGGGAGGACAACAGCTCCCGCTCTTCAGACCGGGTTAACCCGCTGAGCACGGAGGCTCTGAAAGGGACAGGCAGTGTCAAAAAAATGGCAAGCTGAAGGATGCCTGGGGAAGGTGGTGGAGTCACCCCCTCTGGTGGGCAGAGGCCGAGCGCCCACCAGAGTCCCCAAGAAACCTCCCAGGACTGGCGATGCCGGAGACAGGTGGCAGGGGACTACGAAACGCCGCGGAGCACGCACTGGCGGTGGCTGCGGCACACACGTGCGAGCTGCGAGCCCGGCGGGGCAGCCCCCGTTGCGCGCCCCCCCGCGCTCCGAGCATCACGCACAGACACGCACCGCCGCGGCCGGCGGGGCGAAACCCCAGGGGAGCGCCGCATCCCTCCGGGACGCCGCCGAGGCACACGCCCCGCCCCCGCACGCACGCACACCGTGGCGGAAACCGAAACAACCCGGAGACCCCGGCAGTTCTAGGTCCACGGCGTGCGCACAGCCGGGACCCAGGCAGAGCCCCCCGCCGCACCCCCGCTCGGGGACACACTCGAGCTCACCCAGGGCCTGGACCTCTGCGCGTCGTCTCCACCACCACCACCACCACCAGTCAGGGCAGCCCCAGCAGAGGCGCACACAGGCACCCACCCAGAGGCACGAGTTGCTGTCTCTTTGTCCGCGCCCCCTGGGCTGCGCCCACGCGCACAGCGCCTCACACGGAGCCGGGACCCGCGGCTGCCGGCTGCCCCGGCGTCCCTC